TATAAAATATGTGTTTATATACATTTTATATATAAACGTGTTTGAATACAAATGCTTTTATTGTAAAACAAATGATTATAAAAATATATAAATATGTTTTTACAAAAGAAATGTATACAAACATTTATTTGGATGCATATAAATATGTTTAAAAAAAGTTTTTATATAGAAAATATAATATTTTTATGTGAAAATATGTTTTTTTTGTATAAATATGATTTTATAAAGAAAAAATATATTCAAAATTTTTTTGAGAAAAAATGTTGTAAAAGAAACTAAAGTTAGGATGAATTCATAACAAAATTCTGAAATTTGGGTCAAAAGGATAAATTTTGGACCAAATTTGTAATAAAATTTAAAATCTGGGCTAAAACTGTAAATTTTGGACCAAATTTGGAAAAAAAACTTAAAACATGTGCCAAAAATGTAATTTTTAAATGTTATATGACCTATTGACCGGGTAAAAATGTCAAATTGAATACGATTTCCGGTTTTTGAGACTTAATTGAATAAAAAAATATATAAGGACTAAATCGATTATGAGACCAATATGTAATGATTTTTTTTGCAGTTTTCCCTTTAATTTATGCTGAAAGAAAGACTAAACATTACATTGATGTTTTTCCTTAAGAAAACTTTAATGATATTATATAAAGAAAAAAAAAACTAATAATGTTTTTTTTGAACAAAATCGAAATTTTGTAAGGACGTATCTAAAATTTGTAAGTGATTTTCTTGGTTTATACATCTCTGTTATATTAAAAGAGTGCTAAAATGCCGCGTGTTATCTTCTTCAAACCCAAATATATAAAGTGAAATTTCAATTTTACCCTTGCTTAAAACTCCAACGCATGAAATTCAACATATCTGTTATATCAATTAAACTCAATCCCATGAAATCAGGAATTCCAACCTAATATCCAAAAAATAACGACTGAAATCTTATTCAAATTTATGTTTTATGATGGTATACACAAAGCATATTAAGGATTTTAAATATATATGTGTAATCGATTGTATATTGGATTACAATTTCATCTACAAAGAAACTTGCACCCCCACAGATTCTTCATCGTCTTCCTCTATAATCGGTCATTTTGCCACACCAATCGGAATCGGAAGCAGGTAACCCTTTATTTCTTTGATTTCATTATGAACTAGAAGAGCTAAATCTGATTCGGGCGGCATGGTCGCTTTTTGTATACGATAGTATTATAGGGTTTGCAATATGACCATTTATTTTTGATTTTTAGGTGATTGTCCGATAAAATGTGCAATCAGAGGAGTCATTTTGATTTTTTCCTTCTACTACATTAATAATTTAAGGTGCTATCTTTCTCCCCTCAAATTGTAGTTGTTATAGGGTCTCCATTGTTATATTTGTTGACTTTTCTTTGTTGTGAAAGGCTTTTTCCATGAGACATTTTGATTTTTGGGCACGGAATCTCTGTCCCATTAGGATGATTTAGTTTTTAATTTCTTTTTTTAATCTTTCTTTACACTAAAGCTTTCATGGTTATGACAGATTTACCACTAATGTTGATTCGTTTGTTGAACCTATAGGTTGTGATAAGTCACATAGGGTCAACATTGTGGTTATCATTAAGTCACATAATATACTCACAAACTTTAAGGATAGGAAGAATTATAAGAAGTCAAAACTGCCTAAAACTCAAAACTTGGACAGAAAATAATTGTAGTACCTCTTAATAATCTAAAAGAACCAAAAGTCAAGATACTTTAAAGTATTTACTTAATATGACCTTAGACTTATCTCTTAATTAGAAACTAACCTTTAGAAAATAACGTCACCAAAAATCCCTACATTTTGGACTATTCATATGAGTATTATGTATTTTTGGGAAATTTAAACATATCAAAATCATTAGTTTTAATATATTTTCAATGATTATGTGAATTAGCTAATCACCCACTCAAAGCTTTATATTGATTTCCCTATATTCTAAGTGTTTATTTCTTCCTATCTATTTTACAATCATGTTTTTTTCCATATCAAAAATAGATATACAAAAAGCAACATGTAAATTCATCTCATGGCCGATAGACATTTGGTCAAGGTGACAAAGCTCGGATGACAACTCATGAAGCAGCGAGTATTACAGTTCTTGCAAATGACCTTTAATTTGGTTTACCTTTTCAGCTTAGTTTGGAAGCAAAAGAGAACCTCATTGAATATTGGTCTTTGCTTATAAGGAGACTTGATTTCTTGGTGTTGTATGTGAGTTTTAAATCTCAAATAAGGGAGATTGTGAATGAGATACCTCCTCGCAGACAAACTCTCATGTATACTGCCACTTAGCCAAAAGAAGTAAAAAAAAATAGTTGGTGATCATCCTGTCAATCATGTTCAGTTCAACATTGACAATACAGATGAACTTGCTGCAAACAAGTCTAGTACAAAAGTTTGTATTTTTCTTAAAGCAATCTTGACAAATAAGTTAAATATGATGATATAATGTAAATTTTGTGTGATGTTGTAGTATCTTGAAGTAATTCCTACAATGGAGAAGATATAGACATATGAAGAACGAGGTCTAAAATTATAATAGCCTCTTCAACAAAGAAATTGCATGATCAATTGAAATAAAGTGTTGGACGTAAGTTTTGCGCATCACCGATGCATGGAAGTCTCAGTAGGAGTGAGATGTTGAACTAGAGGTGGCCCATCGACTCTATGTAAAGTGTTGGAATCTCATTTTGTAGAATAAAAAAAGCGGCCCATGACTCTATGTAATTTGAAAGTATGATGTTATAATTAGAAAAAATTCATGTTTGTTTACAAGTTAAATTTTATTGAATTTCTAGCATGTGTATTTATCAGAAATTTAGAAAATCCATGTTGATTACATGAACATTATGTTGGGACTTTGAAATACCAGAAAATATTGATAATCAATTGAGTCTCTGTGCTTTTCTCTACATATTAAAGCTCAGTTATTATTTTTAATCAATTTAGCACAGTTTTATTTATTTATTTATTTATTATTATTTTGTCACCTGTGGAAACACGGGTTTAAAAACCTAGCTAGTATACGTGTATACGCATCCGCGAGGCTGGAATAGAAGTCGTCATCTTTACCTGTCTTCCCGCCAACGTTCACCCTCGTACTTCTCTCTGAGATATTCTTCCCACTGCAATTCCCGCCTTCTACACACACATACATACCACTCATCTCGTATTCTACACCCACCACCACCACACTCTACACATTGCATAATCTATAATGGCATTTCGTCGCCCAACCAACGGCCGATCGCCGCTCGTTAATCCACAACGTCAAATCACCTCTTTCTTCTCCAAATCACCATCATCAATCTCCTCCCTTTCTCCTTCCCAGTCACCATCCCCTCTTCTTTCTAACTCTAATTCGAACTCGAACTCTAAACTTAAACCTAAAACTAAACCTAGCCCTACAACCCCATCCCCTTTGCAAACCACAAGCAGTAAGAAACCGGTCTTGGTTATTGGTCAATCTTCTTCTATTCCCGCTTCCGATGCCCAAAACCCTAGATATGGCGACGAAGTAGTTAATCGAAGGATCAAGGTTTACTGGCCACTGGACAAGGCTTGGTATGAAGGCTGTGTCAAAGCTTTTGATAAGAGTTCGGGTAAGCATTTGGTTCGGTATGATGATGGTGAAGAGGAGCATTTGGATTTATCTAAAGAGAAGATTGAGTTGTTAAAGGAGCTGGCTAAAAGGTTCCGTAGGTTGAGGAAGTTTTCCATTGAAGACGAAGATGACGATGAGGCTGGAGGCGGTGCCGAGGGGAACGTGGATAAGAATGTGGAAAGTGGAGGAGATGATTCCGATGATGAGGATTGGGGAATGAATGTCGAAAAGGAAGCTATTGATGATGAAATGGAGGATTTAGACTTGGTAGACGAGAAGGAGGAAGAGGAGGAGGAGGAAGTGGAAGAAAAGAAGGCAATAAAGCCGGACTCCAAAAAGCGGAAGGTTTTTGGAATGAAATCAGCCTCTGTTAAGAAAATCAAGAACGAGGCTCCGTTGGATTTAAGCCCGTGCAATTTGGAGCATAAAACCAATAATAACAGTAAGTACGAGTATTTGTAGATAATTGTGTATTCTAGGTGTATTGAAATCACACTGTGTTTTTACAAATAACAAGAGGGTTGCTTCTAAGTTGCAGGTGCGAAGCCATCTGCTTTTGTTGACAATGATCTTGTTGGCGATAAAGCTGAAAGATTTACCACAAGAGAAGAAGAGAAGTTCAAATTTCTTGGGAAGTAAGTACCTGTACTTGTGCACCTTTAATATCTCTTTCTTCCATTCTCTTTTATAGTTTCTACAAAAATGCAGTTTAATTGCTTTTTTATGCTGGTCTTTTGTATTATATTGTATTAATGAAAGCTTTTTGTTGAGTAGAGCCCGGAAGGATGCCAAGAAGAGATCCCCTGATAATGAAAATTATGATCCAAGAACTCTATACTTGCCTCCTGACTTTTTGGAGAGTTTATCAGGTGGCCAGGTAATTGGTCCTTTTTGGTCACAAGTGATTAAATTGTATTGCAATCTGCAAGTAATTGAAATGGTCTGCTTTTTTGTTGAATATAGAGACAATGGTGGGAGTTTAAGTCACAACATATGGATAAGGTTATATTTTTTAAGGTAAGTGATCTATCTAATATGGAATTAAAATCTGCAGTTATCAAATATTTTTCTATAGGATGCGCTTTTCTTAGTTGCTAACTCCATGTTACTAAACAGATGGGAAAGTTTTACGAGCTCTTCGAAATGGATGCACATGTTGGAGCAAAAGAACTTGATTTGCAATATATGAAGGTAAAAAACCTGTTTGATTTTGGTGTAGCATACTATTTCCAATTTACATTTATTCACAGAGGTTACTGTTTCTCAGGGAGACCAGCCTCATTGTGGATTCCCAGAAAAGAACTTTGCACTAAATGTAGAGAAGTTGGCTTGCAAGGTTATTTCTTCAAGTTGTTGATATTCTTACATACATGTGGATCAACCTAATTTTCTTGTAGTCATGATATGATATGATTGTAATAATTATTTGCTTGAACAGGGTTACCGTGTTCTGGTTATTGAGCAGACAGAGACACCTGATCAGCTTGAGAGGCGTCGCAAAGAGCAGGGTACTAAAGATAAGGTAACCAACACTTGTACACAATAATTATAGATTAGATTTTGTGTTCTGACATTTTATGCCTGTTCTGCAGGTTGTGAAACGGGAAATATGTGGAGTAGTCACTAAAGGAACATTGGTTGATAGAGAAATGGTGGCAGCCAATCCGGATGCTTCTTACCTGTTTGCGGTTTCTGAATGCCATCAAGCATCAGGAGACCAACAGGATGATAGGACTTATGGTGTTTGTGTGGTTGATGTTGCTACAAGCAAGATCATGATAGGACAGGTGTGAACTAAATGTTGGTTCTGTTTAAGTTTTTTACTTTCTAGAGTTGGTGCTTTGTTGTCATGGAAACTGATGCTTCATTTTACAGTTTGGAGACGACACAGAGTGCAGTGTGTTGAGCTGCCTATTGTCCCAACTAAGACCAGTGGAAATCATAAAACCTTTCAAATCACTCAGCCCTGAAACTGAAAGAGTACTACTAAGACAAACAAGAAGCCCTGTCATAAATGAGTTGATACCACTTGAAGAGTTTTGGGATGCAGAGAAAACTATGTGTGAAGTGAAGGAGATTTATAAGCGCATCAGTAATCAATCATGTTTGAATGAATCCATGTCATGCTCATCTGATAGTAAGGATTGCCTACCAGAAGTACTCTCTGACCTAATGAATACAGGAAATGTTGGTAGTTATGCTCTGTCAGCCCTTGGGGCCACTCTGTTCTACCTGAGAAAGGCCTTCCTGGATGAGTCGTTGCTTCGATTTGCAAAGTTTGAGCTACTTCCATGTTCTGGATTCAATGATTCCACCATAAAACCATACATGGTTCTTGATGCAGCTGCTCTAGAGAATCTTGAAGTTTTTGAGAACAGTGTAAATGGAGACTCTAAGGGGTATGTTTATGTTTTTGAGAACATTATTGATTATTCACATTGACTTCCTAATTTGATAGTATATCATATCCATTATCCATCCATGCAGGACATTGTATGAGCAACTAAATCGTTGTGTGACAGCATTTGGGAAGAGGTTGCTTAAAACATGGCTTTCTAGACCTTTATATCAGATAGACTCAATCAGGGAACGCCAGGATGCTGTAGCTGGTGTAAAGGTTCTCTACACGTTCTTAATTTATCCATTCACATTGTTATTGTTTCTAATATAATATAATATAATTCCAAAATAAAGGGAGTTAGCCTGCCTCATGCTCTTGAATTTCGTAAAGAGCTGTCCAAGCTTCCAGACATGGAGCGGTTGTTGGCACGCATCTTTTCTTGCAGGTAAAACGACAAACACACTAGTTGGTAGTAATCTATATAATATATATATTTTGATGTTGGCTATTCATGAAGCAGTGAAGCTAATGGTAGGAATTCGAGCAAAGTGGTTCTGTATGAGGATGCATCAAAGAAACAACTTGAACAGTTCATAATGGTTCTCAGTGGGTGTGAAGTAATTATAAATGCATGCTCCTCGCTAGGTGTCATTCTGGAAAACACTGATTCTAGGCTGCTGCATCACCTGTTAGCACCTGGTAAAGGTCTTCCGGATGTTGATGGCCTTCTTAGGCATTTCAAGGATGCTTTTGATTGGATGGAGGCAAAAAGTTCAGGGCGTATAATACCTCGTGATGGGGTTGATAAAGAATACGACACTGCTTGCGGAATGGTTTCAGATATTGAGTTTAGTCTGAAAAAGCATTTGAAGGAACAGAGAAAACTACTTGGAGATCCATCAGTGAGATTACTTTCTCAAAAACTGTTATGAATGAATAATGATATATACTAATTCTGATTTTTTTTATATGGTTTATGATTATGATGGTGGTGTTCAGATCAATTATGTTACTGTTGGAAAGGATACATATCTTCTTGAAGTAGCTGAAAGTTTGTCTGGTAGCGTTCCTTGTGAGTATGAGCGTCGATCATCTAAGAAGGTAGATATAGTTATTTTTAGTGTTGTGTGTGTAAGAAAGGTCGATTCTGATTAATCAGAATCATGAATATGGATGGATGTGCAGGGTTTTGTCCGATACTGGACTCCTGAAATTAGGAATTTGATGAGGGAGCTGTCAGAAGCTGAATCTGAGAAGGAGTCCAAGTTGAAAAACATCATGCAGAGGTTGATCGGGCGGTTTTGTGAGCATCATGTGAGCTGGAGAAAGTTGGTTTCTACAGCTGCAGGTGTTTATATTTTGCTACTTGTTTTTCATGTTTTTGCTGCTAAACAGCTTATATCAACTATGTATAATTTTTTTTTTTTCCAGAACTTGATGTCCTGATCGGCATAGCAATTGCAAGTGACATGTATGAAGGACCAACATGTCGTCCGCTTATAGTGGATCTGGATGGGGATGAAGCACCGGTTGTTGCTGCTAAAAGTCTAGGGCATCCTGTGCTTGGAAATGATAGTCTAGGGGATGGCAGTGGCAACTTTGTCCCAAATGATGTTTGTATTGGTGGGGCCGATCATGCCAGATTTGTCGTGCTTACTGGTCCTAACATGGGTGGAAAGTCTACTCTTCTGCGTCAAGTTTGTTTAGCACTGATTTTGGCACAGGTGAGAGTGAGACTTGAGAGTGAGTTGATTATTGATATGTAATTTGTGTTTCTTTTTTTTAGTAGTTAATTAGTTATAGATGGATGTTCCAGGTGGGGGCAGATGTGCCTGCGCAAAGCTTTAAGATGTCTCCGGTTGATCGCATCTTTGTGAGGATGGGTGCAAAAGACCATATTATGGCAGGCCACAGTACATTTCTAACTGAGCTGCTGGAAACCGCATCTATGCTGGTCTCTCTCTCTCTCTCTGTGTGTGTGTGTGTGTGTGTGTGTGTGTGTGTGTGTTTGGGTTTGTGATACTGAGTGATATGAAAATTGGATATGTTATGCAGTCATCAGCAACGCGTAGTTCAGTTGTGGCATTAGATGAACTTGGACGAGGGACAGCAACATCAGATGGACAAGCCATAGCGTATGCTTTCACTCACTTTCATATGTTTATGTTGTTGTTATCTTTCACCAAAACTCATTATTTGGTTTGGTTTGGTTGCAGTGCATCGGTTCTTGAACACCTTGTGAACAAGGTCCAGTGTCGGGGTCTGTTTTCTACTCACTATCATCACTTAGCTTTGGAGTATCAGCAGATTGACAAGGTACCATATTATTCCTTTCCCAGCTTTTTGGAGCTATAAAACAACATTTAGATAACTATACTGGTACTATTTTCTCTTAGACCTTTGACCTTAGTGTGTGTGTGTTGTGGGTTGTATGTAGGTTTCCCTGTGTCACATGGCATGCCAAGTTGGAGATGGAGATGGGGGTGTAGAGGAGGTAACATTTCTCTACAAATTGACACTTGGTGCATGCCCCAAAAGCTATGGTGTCAATGTTGCACGCCTAGCAGGCAAGTTCCCTCCCTCCCTCCCACTTTTATTGTAATTCTAATAATAGTAATGATTGACATGTGTCAAGCGTGGTTTTTTTAGGACTTCCTGATGCTGTGCTTAAAAAGGCTGCAATCAAGTCACAGGAGTTTGAGACAATGTATGGTAAAAGGACAAGGACAAACCAAAACCAGATAGCGCTCATGTTGCAGAGCTTAAACAATTGTCATGGGAATGGGAATGGGATTCTTGAATTACAGAACAGGGCAAAGGTATTTTTGGAGCACAAGTGATCAGATTTTGCACTCTGGACTGGATGTGTAGTTAGTTGGTAGTTTGTTTTGATATAGGAAAACTAGTTTTGATGATTGAGAGTTGAGATAACCCAACCCAACCCAACCCAACCAAGGCTTGGATGTGTGATGTGTGATGTGTGGTGGGTCGGTCCATTTTGTAATTGAAATTGCAAGCCAGGTGATGAAGGCTTGTTGACCACCAACCTAATCTCAGTTTTTGTAAAGCATCCACAAGAAACAACACGACATGTTGAATGCAATACAAATGCAAATGAAAATGTGTATGGCATATGTTTATTTCTCAACAACCATTTCTACTTCCTAGGTGTACGTACATTGGTCTACATTTTGGTTTTCTTGGTCTAGCTGTTTGTTTACATTCATTCTCTTTTCCTTCACAGACACTATCTCATGGGTACATTCGTTAATATACATATACAATACATACAGCGATGGTTGTAGAAATGGAAGTTGAGCTTTTTCTTTTTTTGCTTCTTTTGTAAAAAATAAAAGAAAATATAAATGAATGAATGAATGGATGTAATTTGCTGGATTGTGTATGTAAACTATACATTGTCCTGTCCTTCCTCCTGGGGCTGGGAACTCGATGATGATGTTTGATTGTTAGAAGTTGAACCAGCCTGTGTACAAGTAGAAAAAACACAAAAAATCAGTTAAGTACAAGTTGCAACATCACAATCAGATACACAGGAGTTATCCTTTAAAAATCAGCAATCAACCTGATCCTGATTTTGACGTTTGATGCTGTTATGGACCACATCAATCACCCGCATTATTATGTACATTGGAAGTAATATCCCACTAGCCTTTATAACTAGCAACTGCAAAAGCAAAAGCAAAACAAATAAAATCAGTAACAACCTTAATCAGATCATATCACAATAATGCCAATGGTGGTTACTGGTTAGTACTTACTGTTAGGATCGTAAATGGGTAATCCCCTGTTTCGCCCATTAGCACTGCAAGAAAATGTCTCACCAGTAGAAGTACCGTAAACTGCAACAGATCACGATCATTTCATCATGCAAATTGCAAAAACTTAGAAACAAGAAAGCACAAAAAATATTTCTTTGTCAATTGTGATCATCATACATACATACAAACGAGTACGCGTCATGTCTGTTCTGTGCAATAATTTACAGTCACATGGTAATAAAATGGTTTCCATTCCAATCCATAATAACTTTTGCCTTATTTGAGTAATTCGTTTCCATTTCCATTTCATGTGTAGCTAACTACTGACATCTGGCATTTAGATTTAACAACACAGCTAATGTCGTTTTTTACCCTCAACTTTCAAATATATCTTATCTCGACTTGACTTGGATACCCATTCATCTTCTTGCAATAAATACACTTTGAAGTCTGAACATGAAACCAAGGTGTGGGAATTTTAATGGCAAACAGTTGTCTATTAATCGTGTTTTTTTTTTTTTTTTTTTTTCCTTCATTAAGTTGGCCATCCATGTAATCTTGATAACGCGTGAATAGTAGACTAGTAGTATGGTCCCATTGTAGACTATTCAAACCTTATTAAGGAACTACAATAAATATAATATTTTTTTAAGATGAAACGGAAACCCCCACCCCCATACTTTTGACTTTCAATGTCATCATTTCAATATAGCTATTTTCATTTTTTTACAAGCCATATATAGCAAACATCGTATAATATATATTAATAGTTGTCTGCCAATTATTACAAGGATATTTTAATTACGACGTGTGTGTGTGTGTTTTAGAGAAGAGAAATATATGGATAACCATTAACCCTTGTGCAATCATTCATAATTTCAAATTCTTTTAAATAATTGTTATTAATTATTTGTATATATATAAACTGAAACTTTTGACAATTAAGTTGAAAATTTAGGCAAAACTTACGATGACAGCAACTGTTCTGCACATAGAAGCTGTTGTATCGGCAGCTGATGAGCACTCTGCATATTCTCTTTCAACCAATCTTTCTTCTTCATCACCATCTTCTGTGCTTGGACTTGGAACTTCCAAGCTTCCTCTATTATTGTAAAATAAACTAATTTATTAAAACAAGAATTACCGAAATTCGATTTCTATAAAAGGCATGAATCATTCTTTTCTACTTTGTGGGTTTAAATTCTAAAATTCCTTTCCTTTAAAATACTATATAAAAAGGGAAGCATTACTGGTTGATTGCAATTTACGAATATTTAAATTTGCGGTGAATATAAAAATCAGTTTATTGGATAATTATTATTATTCTTATATTTGTAGATGCAATGGATTATGAAAAGATAACGGAAAATTTCTATTTCCACATTAAGGCATCCAACCCATCTTTACCTAAATATTTAAACAAAATTAATATCCAAAACAAATTATGAGCTGTTGATTGATTTTATTTTTTATGTGCGCATACAGGAAACAGCTAATGTGTGTGGACGTCTTCTCCCCAAATAACATTTCCTAGCTACTTTCCATTCAAACTTCAAACTTCAAACTTCAAGCTCTACTAAATTATATATATATATA